CCTCTTGGTTCTTTCCTGTTTCCTTTTACATTCCTCTTGTACCCCCATTATGTTCGACCTTCATTAGGGTTTAGTAATTCCTTATGGCTACATTGCCCTTGATTAAACCCCACGAGGCATCCTACATCCTTTTCTCCATTGATTTTAGTTGTGTCCCCCCCTTCTTTTCTCCCACCTTCCCTTCTCGCATATCCCCCCCAGAACCATCAGTCCTGTTCTTTTTGTTTCCAAATTGTTTATCCTGCCTATCTTATCTACATAGACATGCAGAGACATTAATAAGCGCAAAAACTAGGCAAAGCCAAATAAAACAACCAAGGAAGTAAAAACTAAAACAATAACAGCAAAACAACAACAAAAAGAAAGCCGCTGGCAAAAATGGAAAAGTCTATAAATAGTTCAAGGTCTGTTTGTTGGCCTTTGAGTGTTTTCCAATCGAGTCTGATGGGGTGCCACACTCTGTCTCCAAAGTCTATTTTTGGTATTCCCCAGGGATTTCATCACTTTGCTCCCCTTGCTGCTCTGTTGCATGCCTTTAGTGTTTCACGCCAGCGTGATGGGGTCAGATTGTGCACTATTCCCACACTGTGTCTCCAGTGTTGTCCCCCGCAGTGCTGTGGTTTAGTGAGAGACTTCGTGTCTCATGGTGGAGCCAGCTCTATGGTCTTCTCTCTGCATTGTCTGCTCTGAGCAGGAATATCGTCCTCGGGTCTTGGTGGGCCAGGATGTGTTCCCCTCCCTCTATCCTTCTTCATTTCGCCTGTGTGCTCTAATCTAGCGTGCCCCTCTCCCCAAGCTGTAGCTTCAGTGCTGTCCTCTGAAGTGCATTCTTCTGGGGGGTGGGGTGGGGAGGTGTCCACATAGTTGGGATTGGGACTGGCCATGTAGACCTCTATTGGTTCCCTGGTACATGCCGGTATGTTGTATTCATGTCTTGGCACATCAGGTTGAAGCATGGTCTCTCTCTCCCTCTCCTGTGGAGATATAAACAATACCCTCCCCTTGGGTGGGTTAGTGCCCTGCTCCCCCCCTACCCATATCTTTTCTTCCCTCCCTCCTATTTAGTTGGCTGCCATATGTATCCTTGGATTGAGTTTGGCCCCTACCCTAGTACCTGGACCTCATACCAGGAATGTATGTATATAGTAGCTTCCCCTATGCCCCATTTTTTAAAGCTTACCTCAGTGGACTCATGTTGTACTTTTTCTTTTGTGCTTGGCCTACTGTGCTTAGTATGATTTTCTTCAGTTCTTCCCATGTGGCAATGCGCTTCATGTGTTCATCACTGCTTTTTAGGGCTACATAGTACTCCATTGTATGTATGTACTACAGTTTTTTGATCCATTGGTCCATTGATGAAAATTTGGGTTGCTTCCAACTCCTGGCAATTGTGAACTGTGCCTCATTGAACATTGGAGTACAGATGTCTGGCCGTGGTTTGTTTCTTGCCTCTTCTGGGTATATGCCCAGTAGGGGGATTGCTGCGTTGTATGGTAGCTTGATTTCCATCTGTTTTAGATATCACCAAATCGATTTCCATAATAGCTGTACATACCTACAGGTCCACCAGCAGTGGACAAGAATTCCTATCTCAACACAGCCCCTCCAACACTTCCAGATTTTTGAGTTGGGCTGTCTTTGAGGGTGTTAGCTGGTATCTCATAGTTGTTTTAATTTGCATTTCTCTTATGGCTAATGATCAGGAACATTTTCTCATATGTTTATTGACCATTCAGATTTCTGCCCCTTTGAAACTTCTGTTCAGGTCCTTTGCCCATCTCCTCAGTGGGCAGTTAATTTTTCTCTTATTGTAAGCTTGCAAAGTATTTTAGATTTTAGTAATAAGGCCTTTGTCTGATGTGTCATTGCTAAAGAAGTTTTCCCAGTCTGTGGGCTCTCTTATTACTCTCTTGGTGAATTCTTTCGATGTATACAGGTGGGTTTTTTTGTTTTTTGCTGACTTTAAAATGTTTATTCTTTAAAAATTAGTTGCTTTTTATACAGCTATACAAAATTCTTAATGTTTCCTTGACAATGGATACAATTGAATTTAACTATATAAAAAACGGCCTTTGCCTAAGAAGCAGTATTTACTGTGTGTACGTAGTTGACTGACAGAATTTTCTACCATCCAGCACCCTAATTACTTGAGCTATTTCAAACAGGATATTACAGGATTCCCCCACCCCCCAAGAAAAAATGAGAGAGACAGACAGACACATACTTCCTCAAAACACAGTATCACGGCCCATTCTCAGGCAACTTACAATAATTGCCAGGTACAATTTAGTGATAAGAAAAATCCTCTCAGTTATAAAAAAATACTTAAAAGTTCTACTAATTTACTGCTTTAGTTTAATTGTATATTAAAAAAAATCACTTAATCTGCTATTCCAAATATATTTATTGTTCATTTTTAAAGATAAGCTTTCTTTTCCCTCCCCCAAAGCAACCGCATTATTCAGTTAAAATGACAAAAGCCGGAGCCTGTGTAAGGCAAAAGCCTGCCTGAGAAGAAAAACTCAAGACATTTTCCATTAATAAGAGAGTGGTAGAAAAGTGGTAAGATCGCACCTATCAAAGGCAGAAACTGTGTGAGACCCAGTAAAACAAGGCTGCTCCATGGGGTTCTAACTCTCACAGGTTTTACTGCTATCTTTCAAATTAAGCAGAAAAACAAAACAAAGCCCAGTGCTGGTGACAATTATATAACAAATTCGTGTCTTCGTCAGAAGACTGAAACCAATGGTCAGGACCATGAAGAGCTAGCAATCCCTCTAGTTTCAAAGACTTGTTGGTACACTATGCAGCAACTCTGTTGTCTTTCCTACACTCAAAATCTGCCAATTCTCTGCCCCCGTGTCTTCCTCTACCCTCCCGGGGTGGTGGAAGTCCCCCTGCCGCTGCGAAAGCCAAGGCTCCCCCCAGCCCCCCCTCCATAGCCCCCACGGCCCGGTTTGGACGGAGTGGAATTCCAAATATTTGAGCGTTTAATTTTCTTTCTTCAGCCCATGTTGGTCTTCATTCTCTATTATCATCCCAAGAAATATTATCAAAGAAGGATTTCATTTTGTCATAGCAGCAGTTAGGTCCAAGTGGGTCGTCTTCATCAGCATTTCCTTCCCTGGTTCGGATATCAACTCCTGAGTCTCCTTTATCTTCACCATGTAAAGGTTTCTCCTGCTTTTCAAGTTTATCTTCTTTTAATTTAAGTTTATTGTGGAATTCTTTGTCAATTTCTTGTTAAATTGTGCATTTGCACTTTCAAAGTCCAAGTCTTTTTCAAATTTCATTGCATCATCTCGCCGAATACCAAATCTTCCCCTTCTACCTCGATGACCTCCACGCCCTCTCTGACCTGGTTGGTACTGGGCTCCTTCTCCCAACAGATGCTGGAGCAGGTAAGTGGACTGAGGTGGTCTGTACTGCTTGTTCCATGGTTGAGCATTTTCTGAGAGGGTCTAACTGAGGGCTTGAACAACCTTGAGATAACGGTGAATTTAGAGATCTGTATCCTGTGTAAAAGAAGAACCAACTGCATTGTTTTGGGATGAGGTACCAGTGTTTGATGTTTCTGTTCCAAAAGATGTCAGGGAGCTTCCAGCAACACCAACAGCACCAAACAACTGCCCAACTATTGAACTTGGACTGAACTGACTATACGCCGGCATCCTGCCAAAAGGTCAATAGGAGCCCACCGACTGGAATGAAGATGTAGAAGAGCCTATTGAAGACTGAACCATAGCGGGGTCTTGAGGCAAAGAGCATTGTGGTTTTGGTGGCTCACAAATAGGTCTTTACTATCACTTCCACGGAATATAATGTACTTAGAGATTTCATCTCAAGGTGGAATTGGACGATCTGTTGGTCTGTCTTCTGTACCAAAGTGCTGAACTTTGGCGATTGTGGAGTTCTCCGTGTCGATGGTGTAGAGCAGTGGTTCTCAACCTTCCTTATGCCATGACCCTTTCATACAGTTCCTCATGTGGTGGTGACCGCTCTACCATAATGTTATTTTCATTGCTACTTCATAGCTGTAATTTTGCTACTATTATGAATTATCATGTAAATATCTGATCTGCAGGATATATTTTCATTGTTATAAATTGAACATCATTAAAGCATAGTGATTAATCACAGACAATACATGTAACTATATATTGCGAAATAATTTTTTCTAATGACAAATCAATGAAATTTTGTCTTGAAGCATAGTGTTGCATGGGTAACAGTCTTCATGCCGGGTACGGGTAGGTGGGCATATCTGCATGGGCAGACCACCTGGAGACAGAGGAGCGGTGTCTCAGTTCCTAAGACCTTCGGAAATAAGTGATGGTCTTAGGTGACCCTTGTAAAAAGGTCCTTCAACCCTCAAAGGGGTTGCAACCCACAGGTTGAGAACCGCTGGTATAGAGGATGCCCTCATAGCCGATCTCTTCTTTGGAGATGAGGCTGATCTTGCTGCTGATGTAGGGTGTTCCCCCAGCTCTTGACGGTGCTGCGGTTGCTTGGGGCCACTCTCAAGAGGCTAATCTCATGCTGTGTCCTGCTCCGCACCCCCAGAGCTGCCTCACACTACGTGGCAGCAGCACGGGCTCCACTACCCTCCCCCAGCCTCTACCTGAAAGCCAAGGGCTGGCAGCCATACACAGGTGTTTATCTTCAGTATATCCCCCTTGTGAATTTGTGACTCCTCTGTATTTGTGCCCTTCCCTGTTTCCCAAAGCCTATGTATTCCCAGAGCCAAGGTTCTTAGGTTTGTCCGAATTCCCTCATTAATGGCCTTACTAGTTTGGGGTTTTACCTCAAGGTCTATGATCCACCTTTAGTTTTTTCTTGTGCATGGAGTGAGAGGTAAGGGTCTTGCTTCATTTTTCTGCAGGTAGATAGCCTTTTTTCCGGCCTCACTTACTGAAGAGGGACTACCTGGGCAATTCACCAGTTAAATTCAGAGGAGACACCTGGCTTAAAGTTTTTCTCCTCTTTTACCTGCATTTCAGGATATCAACGCATACATTGGTAATGAGCCCACAGAAAAATTGCCTTTCCCCATCATTGATGATAAGAATCGGGACCTTGCCATCCTCTTGGGCATGCTGGACCCAGCAGAGAAGGACGAAAAGGGAATGCCTGTGACAGCACGAGTGGTGAGTCTTAGAAGTCCATTCTGTGGTCTGCATGACTGACCATGCTATGTACATGTAAATACAGAGGAAAGGCAGCAGCCTCTCTAATTAGGGTACAGCTGTGTATTAGTGTTTGTCCGTGGACCTGCTGGTGGTTTTGACTGCCGACCATGGAGATCATAGCCCAGTACATAACCACTATACCACCAGGGCTCCTGTGGAAACCTAGCAAGGGCAAATGAGCAATTTCCTAACAGGGCATCTAGAAGTGACAGAATAGAGGAGCCACCACTATGCTAATGAGGATGGCTGACTTCATTGGAAAATGAGCAGTGTTTCTTGTAGCTCTTGGGAAGTCCTCTTGAAAGTAAGAGGTCATTTCCTTCTTCATAAAGCAACTATTTTCTAGGTTTTTAAATTATATTTATTTTTGGTGTTGGTAGTGTACAACCAGTCGTTTGCCCATTCAGTTTCTACCTGAACAGTTCAATGACTGGTTATGTACTGATTTTGTCACTATCTTCACGGTGTCTACCCATGTTGTTTGTTACCATGAATTTAGGCTTTCTGCCTCTTGAAGTTCTCATCTGTGCTTTAGATTTATTCTTGTCAGATTTAACTCTGCCCATCAGAGAACAAACTCAGTCCCTCATTTGTGTAAGTGTACAACTATAATTTAAGGTCTGATATTAATTCCCATTAATAATATTTGTATGATAATCCTCCAAATTTGACAGGCTTGACATAAGCTTTTCCTTGGGCTTTTCTGGACTTAATTTGCATCTCAATTTTTCTCAGGATAGCCAGAACTAAATATAACTCCTATCTAAATTTAGAAAAGTAATTTGGAGACAAAAACTATATTCCAGACGCTCAGGTGAATAGTTTATTGTATCGTTACAGTTTTGTTTAACTTTTGATACCTTTGCACATTTCTCGTACTGGCTTTTCATTTCCTAAGTGGCTTTGCCATCAAAAGCACTAGAGGAATGCTCTGTGTATGCTTTTTTTTCTTTCCTTTGCAGGTGTTTATTTTTGGCCCTGATAAGAAACTAAAGTTGTCTATCCTCTACCCGGCTACCACTGGAAGGAACTTTGACGAGATTCTCAGAGTAGTTATCTCTCTCCAGCTGACAGCGGAAAAGCGGGTTGCCACCCCAGTTGATTGGAAGGTAAAGCAGGCATATATATACTCAACTTTGCTTAAAGGATCTCTGTTACTTAGGGCTCTGTATCTGGCCTACAAGTACTCTGGAATGTTCTTCCCCATGACTGAGTTTAAGACTTACCAAGGTACCATTTTCAAGGCCTTTAACACTGATTAGGAACCCCAGTGACATAGTGAGTTAAAGCACTAAGCTGCTGTGGTTAAAACCCACCAGCCTCTGCTGTGAGAAAGTTCAGAAGGCCTGCCTCTGTAACGATTCAAGCTCAGAAACCTTTAGGAGCCAAGTCTATCTGTCCTGTAGGGTTAATATGAGTTAGAATCAACTCAATTCCAGTGGGCTTTGGTTGAGACCTTTAATGTAAAACCCAAATTTCATAGTGTTTTCTAACTTTCAGGCTATTTGGACAAATTAATTGGTCAAAAGTATTCCTTTTGGTAATACAAGACTTTTTTCTCATCAATTTTCTGACCTTTTTTTTTTAAAAAAAACGTCATTTTATTGGGACCTCTTACAGATGTTATAACATTCCATAATCCAAATGGATCAAGCATAATTGTACAATTGCATAATTGAAATTGACAAAAGAAGTCAGTTTCAAACGTTTTTTTCTTGAATTCCTTGATATCAGCTCCCCTTGATAACCTTCCCCCCAGGAACCCTTACTATAACCATATCTTACCCTATTCAATATATCCATTCACCTACAATTCTGTTATTTGTTATTCACTTTCCTTGAGAGGGAATATACAATCATCATTGCTATCATCCCGTGCACCTCCCCACCCCAATCTTCCCGTAACCTCAGGGAATCATTATTCCAGTTGCTGTTTCTGAAAGGTCATCTGTCTCGGAATTCCTGCATCGAACTATTTTAAGCATACAAATGACTATATGTAGGTTTGACAATATTAATGAAGTAAAACATAAGCCTTAATAGTAGGGAGGAAATATTAAAGAATCTGAGGATAGTTATATGTTTCATCAGTGCTGTACTCCACCCTGGATTTATCACCCCTTCTGTGTGACCCTACTGAGAGGGATTGTCCAATTAGCTTACAGGTGGGTGGGTTTGGGGTCTCCACTATATCCACACCTATTCACATCGATTTGGTTGCTTGTTTTTCAACTTCTGATAACTCTTCCCATCGACACCTCATCACAGGCTGGCATACTTCTTCCCTGTGGGCTTTATTGCTTCCCTGATAGATGGCTGCTTGTTTAACTACAGGCCTTTAAGACCCTAGATGCTATAGCTTTTGATAGCCAGCCAGCATGAGCTTTCTCCACCACGTTTGCCTATGCACCCATTTTGTTTTTGGCTTTTTTTTAATGGCAGAATACTTATAGCAAAATGTGATTTGGCCACTTTGGGGGGGGGGGGGTGTGCACTTTTTTAAGTCATTACTTTATTAAGTAGTATACTCCTATCATGAAGTATTTTGTTTCTCTTGAGCATCAGTTTAAACCAATGTGGAATTAAACCCCAGGATATCTGCAGAATAAGACACAAGAATGCATTGACAATGCCAACCAGTAGCCAGTTGCCCTTGGGGCACCTCCGGTTCATGGCAACCCCATGGGGGCAGCAGTGGGGTTTTCAGTGACTGACTTTTCAGAAGTAGTGGCCCAGGCTTTTTTCCCACAATGCCTCTAGGTATACTCAATCTCCCACTTTTTAATTAATCATTTGTACCACCCAGAGCTGTCTATAACATTGTGACCTTTTTTTTAATAGGCCAACCTCTTCCGTTGTTGGTTTCATTTTCTGAAAGGCAAATCAATTGAATTCTGTGTCTATTAATTGAACAGATATTTGTTGAGCTTCAGTGGTGGGCACTGGGCTATGGCAGTGAGCCATATCAAATCCCCGTCATCATAGAAGTGCTATACCAGTGGTCGAGACACACTGTCGACGAGTTTTAGTTTATTAGTGGGTGATGGGTGCTATAGGTGAGGAGAGTCAGAGCATAGGGGCAAGAGGGCTGGCTTTTCTATCTGGCTGTCAAGCATGGCCTTTCTTTGAAACTAAAGTATCTTTGAGAAGGATATGAAGAGAGTGAGTGGCCTAGCCATGAAGGATGAGCCTGCGCAAGCTTTTACCTAAAAATGAGCTTGGCGTCTTCTGGGAATAGAAGGAAAGTCAGGGTGCTGAGATAAGCAGCTGCAGAAGGCGGGCAAGGGTGCTGGAGATGAGGCAGGAGGCCATCACCCGGGCCATAGTGAGGTCTAGAATACTACTTACTCCCTGGGTGGTGTACACAGGTAACTAGCTAGATGCTCATTGAAAGACTGGTTTGATCCACTCAGAGGTCCCTCAGAAGAAAGGCCTGGGATACACATCCAAAGAAGTCGGCCCTTAAATATCCTCCAAAGTACGGCTATACTCTGACACATTTGGGGTTGTCGGCAATGACTCTACAGTAACTTATTTCTTGTTACAATGGAGAACTATTTCCCTCACCAAAATGTCAACGGTCAAACTAAGAAAACAAAATTCCTCAGAAGGGAGAACAGAGAATACTTGATTATTCTCATTAACATCTGCAGTCGCTTTTTGCGAGTTAATTCTTGTCTTTAAGCATCCCTCTAAGATGGACCTTCATCTTTCTCAATGTCTTTCAATAGGATGGAGACAGTGTGATGGTTCTTCCAACCATCCCCGAAGAAGAAGCCAAGAAACTTTTCCCTAAAGGAGTCTTCACCAAAGAGCTCCCATCTGGCAAGAAATACCTCCGCTACACTCCCCAGCCTTGAGTGTCTCTTGGAAGGTGGGGTGGGGCTGCTCACTTAGCACAGTGAGCCAGAGGGTGTCAGCTGCCAATCATGTTTTCCTGAAGCAATCCCATAAACACATCCTGGTGTGATCACAACTAAGGTCTTTAGGTTGTTCTAGTACTGGCTTATTAAATGAAAATGGCACTAAAGATTTCTTGGGATTCGTTACTTTCTGTGCCTGCACCAGCATTCTAATCCATTCATGTATCTTAACACTCTGCTGCCTCTCTTTGGAGTATATTATGTATCTGGGACTCAAGTCTTGGATCTCTGCAGAGTTTGTGATACTACCTAGTACCAGTTCATTGTTGGAAAGCTGGCTTTCCTCCATGATAGAGTGACTTATCTGTCTTAATCAAATCCTCTCTTCTGTTACCCATTTTTGGGAATAACAGAATTGAAATTGGGTTTCCTCTGTAAGTACCTAAGTATATAGCCCAAGAACCTGGAAATAAACTGGATACCTGGTATCTTGATCATACATAGCTGGGGAAAAGCGTTTTCAACCTGCGCTTTTCTTGTAGCCGACTGCAGGAGGGAGAGCAGGGAGAGAGATTTTGCTGTAAGAAAATAACTGATGCATTTCTATCAAAGTGGGGAAGCTACAGAAAAGGCTCTCCTTGACTATCCGGGAGGTACACCAAGGGAGCGGGCAACATGACAGATGTGCCACACACCAAAGAGCACACCGTAGGCGAGAGGAGAGACAATTGAAAATGTTTACTACAGAGCTATTCTTGCAGTGGGTGACTTTTCTGACTTGCTTTTTGGGGATCCACAAATAAAATCTTTTATTAAAACTGGATCAGAGAATTAATTATGTTGTCACACTTTAAATTACTAGCTTGAACTCGTGTCTCAGAAGGACAGGTTTGTTTCTCTTGGCCGGGGTTGGCATTGGTACTCTTCTCCAAAGACAAATGAATAAACTGTCCTGTGTTGAAAATGGGCGAGAAGCTGCAGAACTTAGGCTTTTGATTTCACCATACCTCCTCCTGGCCCATTTTCCTCCTTCACGACATTGTCTGGATGTGATAGTCCCTTAAGTTTGTGATCTTCAGTATAAAGAGCTCTCCCAATCTAATGCCTTGATGTGACTGCTAGGCGTAAACATTAACCTTGAGGATGATGGCCCATCTGTGTGTTTCTGGGCAAACTAACTACAGGTAGTCCCTGGCTTAAGTTGGGGTCCCATTCTTAGGATTTGTGATGAGGTAAGGAAGTTCTGATGTGAATTACCTTATAAATTTATTTAATTAGGTTTTCATAGCCTGCTAAATGTCATTGTTGTAAACAGATCATAGTTTTGAATATCTGCAGGTTAACCATCTGAGAATAACAGCAGATTATGCACTATGCATTTATTTCGTACATACCACGAGATGTTAAAAAGCATGGTCATAGTGCAGTTCATCATGACTTGTCTGCATCATAAATTACTAACCCCTATACGCTGAACCTGTGGATTTGGAATCTTTTATTATGCTATGCTAGTAAGTCTGAGGTTTAGATAGATTTTCTGTGCCTGGTATATAGCCATTTATGTCTTTATTGAGTAGAATAAATGCGTAGCATGTCCTGGTACCACCCTATCACTAAGCCTTTACTTTCCTTGATTTCTCCATATGTAAAATGTAGGTGAAACTAAGAAGGTTGAGAATAAGTAAAGTTCTCGAGTTGTACAACACCCTGGAGGATGCTGGTCTGAGAGAAACTATTAACTTTATTAAGGTCTGCTCTCACCTCGTCCACAAGTCAATATACTTTTGCCCTTAAAGAACAGCTGAATGTCTAGTCTCTGTAGCAAATATCTTCTGACTGTTCCCCATGTCTTCTGACCTCTTTGCAGCTGGCTTTCTTTAGAACTTGTTTTTACCCAGAGAGTTTGGCTTCAGCTTCCTTTTAAGGTGACAGTTCACAATCTAGAAACTTGTGTCTTTACTGACCAATGGGACAGCTTCCATTGAATTTACACATTTGAAGGCAGTTCACTAACTTTAGTAAACATCTAGCCCTGTCGAGAGTTGTAGGGAAAGGAGCCAGATGCCTCAGTGTTCTGGCTCTGTCACTAACGAGTCACGAAGCTGTGAAACTTTGTCCTCACTGCCATTGAGCCAATGCTGATTCAGTGACCCCCTGTGGGCTTCTGAGATTAACAGTTTACAGGAGTAGAAAACTCAGTCTCTTAGAGCTGCTGTTTTCAAACTGCTGACCATGCGGATCGCAGGCCAAATTGTAACCACCTCACCAGCAGGGCTCCTTATGAGACTACAAGTATTCTTTTTCCAGTGTAAACTGTTATTTAATGAATGTGCCACTTGAGTCTAGATGTAATCCTAAGTATGTTGGTGTTTTACAAATATGCTATTGGCAGGGAGAGTAGCATTTCCCCTATTGAGAATTACTGCCCTCAGTTTTCATAGAACAAAGTTAGTGATTCATTCAGATTTTTGAGAATAGATGAGTAATTCACCCAGAAGAGCAGAGGGATTTGAGCCCTTGTGACTTCTCAAAAAGTAAATGCTTTGGCTGCAGCAAATATACCTACTCCTCACTTAGGACTATCTCATCCCACATTTTGCCTTTCAGACACCTTTGAGAAAATTCTCAGGTGGTACCTCTGATGATTCAGGCCCCATGCAGGGCTGTGGCTGAGCCCAGGTGTCCTCTACAGTCACCCCAAATAATAAACTGGAGACCCTGACAATGACCAGGCCACATATGGTCCAGCTACAGAGAACAGATGACAGAATAATGTAGGGTCACAAACAGGTGAAGGCTTGAAGGTGCTGGCTAGGTCAGTGCATCAGGAGAAGGAAGAACACATTGGAATGGCGGGTTGGGGCGGACAGGCCCAGTAGGGTCTTTAACCAGGATGGGGATAACAGGTAACATTGGCAGTAATGGGATGGGGGGTTAGTTAGGGGGACCAGCTCGGCAGGTGGAAGCCTCAAATGTAGTATAATGCAGATGTTGCAGAACAACTTGTTCTTTGGAACCTAATAAGTCTACAAATAAGCAATGGGTGTGGTTTTCTAAGATAAGCTAAGTATGAGCTTGTGACGTATTGCCTAGCCAAAAGTTGCATGATCTCATCTCCAGCCTAAGGGTGGGGATCCACAATGATAATCTCAAAATTTGTAATTCACCACAATGGCCAAGTCAAGGTACCAGTAATTGGAGTGAGTTGGAATGGTAATTTATTCCCCCAGATAACCAGTGGGACCATACCCCTTTGAAACAAATGATACCAGCTTAAGGAACGGTGTCATTCCACTCTCCTGTGAGTGCTTGGCTCAGAAATGGCTTATCATTCCATTTTTACCAATGAGACAGCTGATGGAGGTTTCTAAAAGAATTCTTGGTAAATTTGGAAACCATTTTTTATTTCCCCCTGAGATGAATGAGAAAGCAAGAAGCACTGGTTGGCATTGACAACCATCTTGCAACCTAAGAAAGAGACCAGCCATAGAAAGAAATTCAAAAATGTGAACATCAGAGCAAACAGAAAACACACCACTTTGATAACCATCACTACAGCCTACCAATCTCAAACCTTTCTGACCTCAACTTCTATTATCGGAAAAAAATAATTTCCTTAATGTTTGATCCTTTTTCAGTTGGGTTTTCTGAAACTTGTAACCCAAAGCACTGGAATTGGTAGGAATGATGCGTTGCCTAGTTGTTACAAACACTGAGGAAAATGCAAAACTGGTAAAAAGCAAAGAGCACTTTGCACACAGGGTGCCCTTAACATAAGCTTTAGTCTTTTCTTAGACCTTGTATGTGAAAGCTAGACAACAAAGAAGGAAGATTGAAGAACTGGTGCACTTGAGGTATGTTGGTGAGAAATAGTAAATGTACATAGAGTGGCAGAAGAATGGACAGCGAGCCTTGGCCGAAGTACGGCCTTAACAGCAAAGGTGGCCTGAGTTTCTCGCTTACTTTGGACATGTCATCAGGAAAAACCAATCACTTGGAAAGGACACCAGGCTTGGTCAAGCGGAGGATCAGAGAAAGCAGCAGCCCGTGAGATGGGCTGACCCAGTGGCAGCAACTGAGCTCAAAACTCAATCCAAAACCAAGCTCACTACCATCGAGTAGCGTTCTGATTCAAAGATATTTTTCAAAGAAAAAAATTTGAGGATGCCTAGGACCAGCGTTTCATTCTGTTACACATAATAAGGTCACTTTGAGACATTGTCAACTTGACAACTAGCAACAATAACAAATTTCAAATTTATGGTAGTGTGCTTCTAAGCAAGATTGGAGAGTGGGCATCTGTTTCCTGCTACTTCTAGACCCCCAGTACTTGTGGTTCTTCCACTTCAATATGCGTTAAATAATACATACTGAACATGCCATTTACCTGCAGAGCTCGTGATAAGCAGAGCCCAGGGGGTTGTTTCCAGAGGCAGGTTCCTCCAGTCCCAGAAAGTCACCATTTTTAAACCCAGGTGAGTATGATGCAGATTAATTACAACAGATACTCTTGTTGTGTCTCACCCAATACCATCATTTTCTCCTCAATCTCTATTAACAACCAGATCATGTGTGCAATGGCAAGGTGTGTGGGCCTGGGGCAGAGTCCCTTCCAGACTGTAAAGGCAAAGCTTCAGAAAGTGAAAGCTCTTTGTCCTACTTCTGAAAGACCAATGGGATGCAGGAAGTTACAGGTGTTACCTTGGCACCACAAGGATAAAAACTGCAAGCCAAGGGTGGAAGCGACAAGGAGCCTGGGGGTTCAGGATAACTTTCTCGAGCAGCTGCACCTGCCCTGTCCTATTTGTATCCTGGCATCTTGTTAACAGAAAACGAAAAACAACCCTATGTGGCTACGCCCCTGCGGTCAGGTTTTGATAATGTGCAGTTACACCCAGTATGAACTGACACACTGGGGGCCCATAAGACCATCTGCGAAACGCTGCTCTGGTGTGCTAGGCATCCAGGAGTGTCTGCCTAGTCTGAGCTTGACTTTCTCCCACAGTTCCTTGTATTCTTGCACCCATTTTCCTTCAGTAGGGAATTGTGTATCATTCTAAAGTCTTGTTGAGATGAAATAATGGATTCTAAATAATAAACCATCAGACCATAAAACTCAACTTTACTTGGCTTTAAAAACAATGAGAAGTCACATCAAGCCTTACTGTGCAATATAAGAATGGCAATTACTCCCACATGTTCCTTTCAGAGACTAAGAGGGTGGAACATTATTCTCCCTCATCCCCAGTATTTACTAACTTTGATGTGGAGGCAAGAGAAGAAAATACCAGGGAGGCAATAATTATAATACTTTGACAAATAAAAATTATAGGTCTTGTGCTTTGAGCAGTAGTGAATCAATTGTATAATACTTTGATAACTAACCCTCTTGACTCCTGCTCGACCTTGGAAGTAGGATCTCCTTTGAGTTTAGGGTACTATCTGACCCTGAAGAAGTCTTGAGTACCTCAAGTATAATAATCTGACTACTTCCAATTAGACCTTTTAAACCAGTCTCTCAAGTGCTTGTAAAATAAATGCAGTAGTAAAGTGTTTCTGTGGCTATGAAGTAAAAGCCTTGCCAGGTAAAATCCTTCAGCTTTGACCCAATTCCACACATCACATTGGTGCTGTTAATGCACTGCTAGAGAAAGGAGCCGGTGTCCATCTGTAAAAATCCAAAGCAACATATTAAATCCTGAACATTTCAGGTAAAATGCCTTACTTTTAAAATTCAACCTGAAAACATACTGTAAGCTTTCCACTTATTATCTGGAAACATGACTTCTGAAAGAACTCCCACGTTAAGGGCTTTGAGTGCTGTATCAAATGTGTGTGTGCCTCTACACAGCCATCTTCTGGAGAGACACTCCACTCATTCCATAAGAGAAGTCTTGTCAAGTGGAGTTTTCGGGGGAGAAAACTTTTGGAAAGTTGAATTGAAGTAAACATTTTTTTACCATAGAAGAACTAAAAATTGTTTTCTTAAATTGGAATAAAAATTTAAAGAACAGTGTTGGAAAAGATGGTGAAAAATCAGAACAACACCCCCCCCGCCCCCCATTATTTGACTCTGGTGGCTTAGTGGGTTACACATGGGACTGCTAACCACAAGGTCAGCAGTTTGAAACTACCAACTGCTCTGCTAGAGAGAGACACGGCTTTCTACACCTGTAAAGAGCCACCGTTTTGGAAACCCCCAGGGCCAGTTTTACTCTGTTCAGTAGGGTCTCTCTGAGTCAGAATAGACCCGATGGCAATGAGTTTGGGGGGTTGGTTTGTGGCCCTGTCTGGTGAGTGTTGCACTGCTAACTTCAAGGTTGGCAATTCAAACTCATCAGCTGCTCTGCTGAAGAAACAGGAGGCTGTCTGCTCCAGTAAAGACTCACAGCCTCGCACGTCCTCTCTATAGGATCACTATGAATTGGAATCTTGATGGCAATGGGTTGGGTTGAGTTGGATTTGATTCGACTTCTCATATATGAAACAAGGTCCTGGTAATATGGAGGAAAGGTTGACCCTCAGATGGCTGCCTAAAAAGAACTAAGCTTTTCTGTTAAAAGGATTCACTGACCATAATTGATTGATGCAACTTTCTTTCCCACAACAAACATTCTGCAAACTACCTTGATCACTGCAAATGACAGAGGTAGGACTAGACTTTCTATCCAAAAGATTTTAGGAGTCAGCTATCTTAATCTGATTGGGGCAGGGTAGGATGAGGAGGAAACTCTTTGGGGGCTGTACTCATTCTGCACATCATTTTTCCTTTGATGACATATTTCTTTGAAGTGGCTTGGCAGCTGGCTGAGAAGATTGAGGGCAGGAAGTCCGTGCTGGGTTGCTTTGCCTTTGCCTAGTCAAAGTACCAGCCCCTTAACTGATCTCGGTGCTGTCAGATCTGTCTACTCCACTCCACTCAGCAGAAAGTTTTGGCTAAACAGAGCTACAAATCTTGTATGATCCCCCATCACCCTTCCTATCTCCATGCCCCCTTGCCCCTATTCAGTCCTGGACCAAGGTGACAGTTCCCCCCTCTCTGGGCTTGACTTAGAGCATCCTCTTGTCCCTAACTGACATAGTTCTCATTTTAAAGGACAAGAATGGGGACAAAAGCCTAAGCGATTCTTGATAATAAAATGTTTTTTAAGACCGCTCTTTGATATTTAAATTTCATGCAAATATGTCATCCTACACCATAACAGAAAACAATGTTTTAAATAATTTAACAGTTCAATGAATTAACTTTTTCCATTAAAAACAAAAAAGTTTAAAAAAAAATTTTTTTAAGTCTTCAAATAAAGTTGATGCTCTAGGAAGATATCCATCCATGATCAGCCCATGTAGCTCATGGGGGATGCATACCCAGGAGAAGAACAGCTACTTAGATACTCATTCCAGCATGATGCAGGCCCACCCCCCTAATCCCATCAATCCCTAATGCTCTATCATTTTTCTGTTTCAAATCCGGGGGAGTCTTGTCCCACTGTTAACGAACTGCCTCGAGGTGTCTCTGCACAACACCTACATTTTGCTATATATGACCTTGTGTTGATTTTAGCTGTGAAGATCTCATTGAGTATCAGGTTTATTACCTCACTTGTTCTCCTCCGATACTCTTTCTTGGCCATTCTATTCTTTTCGCTGGCTGAAGAAAAAAGAAAAAGAACGTCATTGACTGAATCAGTCCAAACATATGTCTTAAGCAGAAACACTAAATTAGGAGTTGGAGAGAATAGATGGCAGGAGAATAGCTTGAGATCTCAATTTGCTTTTCCCTTATATGTCTCCCCTTTCCCTTCCTTACTTCCTATGGGCTTTTTCCTTTTGTCCCTCAAGAAAGTTTATAATAGGCTCCCCAAAATCTCATATGAGCAGAGGAACTGACAAACTCAAACAGGAGTAGACAGATCCCCTGTATTAATAAGGTGAGTAAGACTGGTGTGAGCACTGTGGACTAGGGCACAAAGGAGAGCTTCTGCATCTTCTAGTAGCTGGTCAATACTCACCTCTACCTGATTGTTGCTCCACATGAGTATAAAAGACCACAGGGAAGAAGCACACCAGCCAATGTGAGCATGAGGTGTCGATGGGATCAGGTATCAGACATCAAAGAACAAAAAAGCATACCATTGTGTGCTCACCTTCCCACTACGATCGCTGAAGACAAATGGGTGCATAAGCAAAAGTGGTGAAGAAAACTAATGGTGCCCAGCTATCAAAAGATAAAGCATCTGGGGTGTTAAAGGCTTGAAGGTAAACAAGCGGCCATCTAGCTCAGAAGCAACAAAGCCCACATGGAAGAAACACACCAGCCTGTGTGACCACAAGGTGTCAAAGGGCTCAGGTATCAAGCATCAAAGAACAAAAAAATCAAATCATTGTGAATGAGGGGGAGTGCAGATTGGGTACCCAAGACCCATCTATAGGCAACTGGACATCCCCTTACAGAAGGGTTGCGGGGAGGAGATGATCCAGTCAGGGTGCAGTGTAGCAACAATAAAACATACAACTTTCCTCTAGTTTCTAAATGCTTTCCCTGCCCCTCTCCCCACTATCATGATCCCAATTCTACCTTACAAAACTAGTTAGACCGGAGGATGTACACTGGTACAAACAGGAACTGGAAACACAGGGATTCCAGGACAGATGATCGCTTCAGAACCAGTGCTGAAAGTGATGATACTGGGAGGGTGGAGGGAAGGTGGGGTAGAAAGGGAGAACTGATTACAAGGATCTACATATAACCTCCTCCCTGGGGGATGGACAACAGAAAAATGGGTGAAGGGAGACATCAGACAGTGACAAAACAATAATTTATAAATCATCAGGGGTTCATAAGGGAGAGGGTAACAGGGAGGGAAAGGGGAAAAGTGAGGTGCTGATACCAAGGGCTCAAGCAGAAAGCAAAAGTTTTGAGAATGTTGTTGGAAACAAATGTACAAATGTGCTTGACACAATGGATGTATGTATGGATTGTGATGAGTTGTAAGAGCCCCCAATAAAATGATTTTTTTAAAAAAGTCTAGTGTTCAAAGACCTGAATTTTCATAAAAAGCTTACAAATCTAGATCTTCTTGTGAAATTGCTGAAGTTTGTACAAGTACTTGGCAACTAATAAAAAAATTTTAAAAAAGAAAGTGTGGGAAAACATTATTATGGACTGGATTCTTTCCAGAAGTCTACTTTTTGTGACTTTTGTTCCAAACTCATTAAGGCAGCAGTTCCCAACCTGTGGGTCATGGCCCCTTTGGGGGTCGAACAACCCTTTCATAGGGATTGCCCTATTCATAGCAGTAGCAATGAACAGTAGCATATTAAGTAGCAACAAAAATAATTTTCTGGTTGGGGGGGTCACCACAACATGAGGAACTGTATGAAAGGGTCATGGCATTAGGAAGGTTGAGAACCACTGCATTAAGGGAATAGCAAACCCATTACCATTGAGCCATTCTAGCTCACAGCAACCTTATAAGACAGAGTAGAACTGCCCTTAGGGTTTCCAAAGTTATAAATCTTCTTGGGAACAGACAGCCTCATCTCTCTCCCACCAAGTGACTGATGGGTTAACAGTCACTTGTGGTTAACAGCCAGCCTAGTGCTCAACCCACTGTGCCTCCAGGGCACCTATAGAGGGATGTGTTTCTTTGTGTTTCAAAAATACTTCAAAAGGCCCCAAAGGAATAGAGACCTTTGGGCCCAAGAACAATGGAGACTGTGCCCTGCTTCCTGGAAGTCCTTAGGATTGATTCCTGACTCAGCAGCCCACAGGGTGGACTGACAGATGTGCTTGTCAAAATGAAAGGGAGTGTGCACACTAGGGGAATGGCCATGTTGGTATTCGCCAACTGGGATGGGTGACCCATGATCAAAGGGACTCCTTAGATCATGACTCTAGAGTTCCAGAATGGAAGTTATGTAATAAGAGCCATCTGATAAGTTTCCCAGAAGAGAGTCATATTTACTTGTTTAATGTCTGTCCCTCCATCCAAACAATGACCTCCAAAAAAATAGGGACCCTATTGGCTTGCTCACCTACTAGTGCTTGACACATACCTAGCTTACAATGTATGAGCCACGCAGTGCGGCTGAATATTATAAGGATCATGCAAGTGTGAAATAGTGAAATATCAAATAGTGCCAATGCCTCATCGGTCAGTTTGTCTTACTGTGGTGGCTTGTGCATTGCTGTGATGCTGGAATCTATGTCACTGGCATTTCAGATGCCAACAAGGTGGCCCAAAGGGACAATTTCAGTAGAACTTACAGATGAAGAACGCACAGTGAAGAAGGAATCAGATGCCCACCTCAGAGGAAGAAGCAGCTGAGAACCTTATGCACAGCTTTGAAACATTGTCAGACACTGAAAGCTTCGTGGGTGAAAGCAGAACCTTGTCAGAGGCCTCGTGGATCAGAAGACACTCAAAATATGACTGAGGAGGAACTGATTTCTCATAGTGGCATTGACCATGGTGACATGAGTTTGAGGTTAAAGCATGTGGGCGTGAAACCTTCAGGATCTTCCTGCGAACGGGGCATGCATCAAGGTATGGAGAAATAGTTATGTAACTATGTGAATGATTGGAAGTTGGGATGTATACAGTATGAATCTTGGAATATTGGAGATGGTAAAAATGAAATGAGATGTATAAAATTGATATCCTACACATTAGTGAGCTGGAATGGACTGGTATTGGTCATTTTGAATCCGAAAATCACATGATTTACTCTGCTGGGAATGACACAATCGGGAGGCATGGCATTGCATTCATTGTCAAAATGGACATTCCAAAATCAATCTTGAAGCATAATGCTGTCTGTGATAGAATTATATCTACCTGCCTTTAAAGAAATCCAATCAATACAACTATTATTCAAATTTAAACACCAACCCCAAAGATAGTGTTGAAGAAATTGAAGAATTCTAGCAGTGAATCCGTCAGAAATTGGACAAATATGCAATTAAGATGCATTGACAGTTATTAGTGATTGGAAAGCAAAGCTTGGAAACAAAGAGCAAGGAAGAGAAGTTGGAAAAGATGGACTTGGTGATAGAAATGAAGTTGGAGATTGTATTGAGAGAATTTTTGCAAGACCAATGACTTGTCCATAGCAAATATCTTTTTTCAACCACACAAGTGGTGACTATATACCTGGACGGCTCCCAAAGGAAAACACCGAAATCAAATTAACTAAATCTGTGGGAAGAGACAATGGAGAAAGAGAAACTCAATATCAGCAGCTAAAACTAGGCCAGGAGCTAACTATGAAACAGACCATCAATTGTGCGCACGTTAAGTTCAGGATAAAGCGGAAGAAAATTAAAACAAGTCCACAAGAGCTAAAACATGACCTGAATTTCAAGAGCAGAGTTCATGCATTGACCCTTACTTACAGCAGACCTGAGGAGCTGTGGGAGGACATCAAGAACATCATTCATGAAGAAAGCAAAGGTCATTACAAAGACAGGAAAGAAAGAAAACATCAAAGTGGATGTCAGAAGAGGTTTTGGAACTTGCTCTTAATCATAAAGTAGCTAAGGCAAATGGAAGAAATGATGATGCCAAAAAGCTTCATAGGATTTTTCAAAGGGCAGCTCAAGAAGACAAAATCAAATATTATAATGAAATGTTCAAAGACCTAGAGTTAGAAAATCAAAAAGGAAGAACATGCTCAACATATCTTAAACTGAAAGAACTCAAGAAAAAAATCAAGCTGAAAAATTGGAAGATTCTATGGGCAAAATATTGAATGATGCAGGAAGCATCAAAGGAAGATGGAAACAATACACAGTCACTGTACCAAAAAGAACGAGTTGACACTACACCACTTCAGGAGGTAGCATATGAGCAAGGACCAATGATCCTGAAGGAAAAAGTCCAAGCTGCACTGAAAGAATTAGCCCAAAATAAGGTTTCAGGAATTGATGGAATACCCACTAAAATGTTGCAACAAGCTGATGAAGCACTGGAAGCACTCACTCACTTTTCCAGGCCAGGAAATTTGGAAGACAGCTACTTGGCCAAAGAAAACTGACTCAACAGAATGTGAAAATTATTGAACAAATATCATTGATCTAACATGCAAATACAATTTTGTTGAAGATCATTCAACAAAAGGTACAGTATTACATTGAAAGTCCTGCCAGAAGCTCAGGTTGGATTCAGAAGAGGATGTGAAACAAGGGATATAATTGTTGATGTCAGATGGATCTTGGCTAAAAGCAGAGAACATGAAAAAAGATATTTCTCAAAAACTCCAAACTCGCTGCCATTGAGTCAAGCTGACTCATAGAGACCCCCTGTGGGTTTCCAAGACCATAACTGTTTACAGGATTGAAAAGCCCAGTCTTCCTTCCACATAGATTCTGGTGGTTTCAAACTGCCAACCAGGCCGACCACAGCTCCAAAAATACCACTACACCACCAGGGCTCCTAAGTGTTTACTTGTATTATATTGACTGTGCAAAGGTATTCGACTGTGTGGATCATAAAAAACTATGGATAACCTTGAGAAGAATGGGAATTCCAGAACACGTCATTGTGCTCATGAGAAACTTGTACATGGATCAAGAGGCATTTCTGTGAACAGAACAAGGGAATACAGCATAGTTTAAAATCAGGAAAGGTGTGCATCAGGGCTGTATCCTCTCACCATACTTACTCAATCTGTATGTGGAGCAAATCATCAGAGGAGCTGGATTACCTGCAGAAGACTGTGGCATCGGGATTGGAGGAAGGCTTATTAACAACCTGCAATATGCAGATGACACACCTTGCTTGCTGAAAGTGAGGACTTGAAGCATTGACTGATGAGGATCAAGGATTGTAGCCTTCGGTATACACTTCAATTCTATGTAAAGAAGACCAAAATCCTCACAACTGGATCAATAGGTAACATCATGATAAATGGAGAAAAGATGGAAGTTGCCAAGGATTTTGTCTTTCTTGGATCCACAAGCAATGTTCATGGAAGTTGAAGTCAAGAGATCAAAAGCTGTGGTGCTTTAAGTAAATCCACTGCACAAGATCTCTTTAAAATATTGAAAAGAATGTTTTTTTGAGGACTAAGATGTGCCTGCCCCAAGCCATGGTCTTTTCAATTGGCTCATATGCATGTGAAAGTTGGACACTGAATAAGGAAGACCTTAAAAGAATTGATACGTTTGAACTGTGATGCTGGAGAAGAATATTGAAAATACCCTGGACTGTTGAACAAACAAATCTGTCTTGGGAGAAGGACGGTCAGAGTGCTCCTTAGAGGAAAGGCTGGCAACGCTTCATCTTACATACTTTGGAGCTGTTGTTAGAAGAAACCAGTCCCTGGAAAGGACATCATCCTTGGAAAAGTCAAGTCGAGGGACAGTGAAAAAGAGGACAGCCTCAAGCAGATGGATTGACACTGCGGCTGCTACAATGGGCTCAGGCCTAGGAACAATTGTGAGGATGGCGCAGGACTGGGCCATGTTTGTTCTGTTGTGCATGGGGTTGCTATGGGTCAGAACTGACCCAATGACACCTCACAACAACAAAGCCTCACTTTGTAGCCACCATTTGAAACTATGTACATCTGACCAAAAATTATCAATGTATTAGGAATTGCCTGTTGTCTAAGCTGGCGGACCGCACACATGATGAACACCAGGATGATTCAGAGTAGAGAAATAAATGAAGGGGTAACTGTGTTGTTAAACTAGGGCCTCGGAGAGAACAGTGACACTGGAATTATTTGGACAGCGGTGCTGAGAAAAAAAGATCTTAAATGTAATTTTTTTTTAACATTTTATTAGGGGCTCATACAACTGTTATCTCAATCCATACACACATTAATTGTGTAAAGCGCATTTGTACATCGTTTCTCAAAACATTTTCTCTCCA